AGTCTTTGTCATCGCATACAATGTCACTCTGAAGTCATTATTCATTAATTCACAAATTAATATAATAAAATTAGAATAAAATCTAAAGAACAAATCATAGTGCATATATCTTTAGTCATTGTGCATTCGCCTTACACATTTAATCGATATAAATTTGAAAAAATGAGATATTTATGGAATTGAATCAATTAGTTTTGAAAACACTGACTTTACAATTAATCAATTTAATTGAAATGATAAGTCCACTTAATTGAAAACAATTAATACGGAGTAGTGGCCTAAAATTGTGGATGATGTGGCCATTTCTTTTCCTAACTTGCCCTTTAATATAACATTTATCAATAAAATAGCACGTATCATTAAATGCAGCTAACCTCAATTACTTTTTTTGCATCAATGAGAGCCATTAGATTTAATAGATCAATGCATATCCTCTATTCTTATTTCTTTCGCTAAGCATCATTCTTACAGGAACCAACCCCTATATATATATATATATATATATATATATATATATATATATATATATTTATCTGTGTGTGTGTGTATGTATGTATATGTATATGTATATGTATGTATGTATATATATATGTATATGTATATGTATATGTGTGTGTATATATATATATATATATATATCTATCTATATGTATATGTATATGTATATGTATACACACACACACACACACACACACACACACACACATATATATATGCCTATGATTTCAGAAAAAGAAACAGATACGGAGGATATTTTCTTACGGAGTACGAACGGGAGAACACGAACAGTAGCTGCGAAAGAGCCGTTATCCGCTTCCATCCGTGCCACCGCTGGTGAGCCGCCATCCTCGTCACCGGGAAACTGATCGCCGCCACCATTTGTGTCGTTGTGAACCTAGAAACGTTGTCACTTTGTCGTCATCGTCTTCGATTGTTTGATTTGTTGATTCCCTTTATTTATCAAATCTTTCGAGGTGAGTTCGTGGATTTGTTTTTGCATTGTTAACTTTTACAGCGGGAAAAATGAAATAAAATAATCTGAACTTATAAACCGTTCGGATTTTACAACAAAAAAATAAAATAAGTAAATTGGAGTCTTCGGAAGCTCGAACACGAACAGACGGGACCGAGGACACGGTCGGACAGAGGGGAAGAACACGAACGGCGTCGGAGCGTAGGCAGCGGTCGCCGGAGTTTTTTTCCTGGAAATATAGATTAGGAAAGTGGAGTCGCCGGAGCTTTCCTTAAGGTAGTATTGCCCGCCTCCCGCACTGGCAAACGTGGGCAATCTCCTCCCAGGATAAAACCGCAGCGTGCAAAGTCTAGAGCGGTAGAGCGATGCACTGGCGAACGAGAACGACGTGAAGTTATCGCCGGAGAAGATGATCGGAAACGAGGAGATAGTCGGAAAGCTATTACTATTTCAGAGACGTTTTTTCGAGTTTCTAATCCCTGCAGCCGAGCCCTCCTTTTATAGGAGAGGAATTGGCTCTTCGATTGGACTTGGCGGAGTTACCGAGGCGTCATGGCCAACCCTTCGCCTCCATGCATGCATGCTTATTGTACGGCACTTCGTTAATCACGAAGTGTCCACGCGTGTTTAATTCTGGATCGTAAAAAGTTAGCCCCGCCCTGCCACCGCCGCAAACGCGGTGCGTGCCTCGCCTCGCCTCGCGCGCGAGGCCGAGCCGAGCCAGACGGATGGACGGCGGCGGCATGCGAGGAGTCCTCTTCTTCTTCCTTTCATAAGCTCAATTAAATGCCAATGCTTAAATATGAGAATACGAAAGGTTCAAAAACTGGTGTGGGACAAGGGTTTTTACTCTTCCCTCATATTCAACTTTGAGAATTAATTTCTCATTCACCCGAGCACCGTTTATGGCGTGTAATATGTCAAGACGTTCGTCTTACTTACGAGATTAAACGTCCATAATTATTTCGGAAAATAATTTTGTGGACCCTACTGAATTTATGTCCGAAAATGTCCAATTTATCTAAAAATTTCCAACAATCCCCCACATGAATGAAAATTAATTCATGTAACTGGCAATAACTCTGAAGTTGAAACCTGCAAGAGTAGGTAGGTTTTATGCCTTTGAACCTACTCCTTGTAAACAATACCTTCTCTACTGCTGTTCACTAGAACGTGATGTCTTTGAACTGTACTGCCGTTTATGTAAACGACGATATACAATACACAAGTTTCAACCAACCATCATTCCGTTCTCATGGGTGTGCCCATTATGGTCGTGGAACATGCATCTGGTTTTGCGCGAGTGTAAGACAGGATTAGCCCGAAGTCCTTCTGTTGAAGCGACCGCACTTCACTCTTACATAGGTGATTCTTCTAAGAGTACCCCGATTACTCCACTTGGACCTCGTTGTCCATAGTTCAAGAATCATTAAAGCGTCATGCTAACCTCATTGTTTTCGGGAGTCACTGTATCTCATTAGGAACGAAGGGGTGTTAAGTCGGTGATCCGGCTTGCCCCCACAGTGACCATGCTTCGTTCCACAAGTAGGTTGTCCCATTGAACCCAGGTACCACCCAGGTTGGGTTTTCCTTCATGGAACGTTCCCAGCACAGGCTAGGGCTTTCAAACCCATTCCTACCACTAACTTCTCATGTTGCTCATTAGTTAACCCTTTGGTTAATGGATCCGCTAAATTGTCCTTTGACTTGACATAGTCAATCGAGATAATACCCGTATTGAGAAGTTGCCTAATAGTTTTGTGTCTACGGCGAATGTGCCTAGACTTACCATTATACAATTTGTTCCAAGCTCGTCCTATTGCTGACTGACAGTCACAATAGATGCAAATACGAGGAACTGGTTTTTCCCAGTTTGGAATATCCTCAAGTAAATTCTGAAGCCACTCGGCATGTTCTGCACACTTATCTAGTGCTATGAACTCAGACTCCATGGTGGATCTGGCAATTAACGTTTGTTTTGAGGATTTCCAGGAAACAGCTGCACCGGCTAATATAAAGATAAATCCGCTTCTGGATTTTGAATCTTTATTATCTACAATCCAATTGGCATTTGTGTACCCTTCCAGCACGGGTGGATACCTGCCATAGCATAGGCTATAATCTCGAGTATACCAAAGGTATCTCATCACTCGGACTATGGCCTTCCAATGCTCAGTACTCGGATTGCTAGTATACCTACTTAGTTTGCTAATGGCGCAAGCTAAATCTGACCGTGTGCAGCTCATCAGATACATCAGACTTTCGATAACTCTAGCGTATTCTGTCTGAGAATCGCTACTCCCTCAGTGTTTACCGAGGTGAACATTTACGTCTATCGGCGTCTTAGCCATCTTTGCATCATCCTTGTTGAAGTTTTCAAGGATGTTGACAATGTAGTGGGATTGGCTCAAGCTCAAACCATCTGGTCTTCTTATTATTTTGATTCCAAGAATCACATCAGCAGATCCAAATCTTTCATATCGAATCGTGCGTTCAACATGTCCTTGGTGGACTTAACCATCTTGTCGTTGCTTCCAACGATGAGTATGTCATCTACATACAGACATAAAATGACATACCCTTCAGATGTGTCCTTAAAGTATACGCACTTATCTGACTCATTTATCTTAAAATAATTATTTATCATTACTTCGTCAAACTTATCATGGCATTGTTTTGGCGCTTGTTTAAGACCATATAATGATTTCACAAGTTTGCAGACCTTCTTTTCTTGGCCCGGAACCTTAAACCCCTCGGGTTGTTCCATATAGATTTCTTCATCTATTTCTCCATTTAAAAAAGCTGTCTTCACATCCATTTGATAAACATCCGGGTTTCGTAAGGATGCAAATGCGATGATCATTCTGATAGAATCTATCCTAGTCACAGGCGCGTAAGTATCAAAGTAGTCATAGCCCTCGCGTTGGCTATACCCCTTGATCACAAGTCTAGCTTTGTACTTGTCAATGGAGCCGTCAGGCTTCATTTTCCTCCGAAAGACCCATTTAGAACCTAATGGCTTACACCCTGGAGGGAGATCAACCAATTCCCACGTGTGATTCTGAAGAATAGAATCGATCAACTTCACTTTTCATGGCTTCTCGCCACTGAGGTCCCTCAATTGAGGTTACGGCCTCGTGATAGGTTCGTGGTTCCTTTTCTACCAAACAGGTTAGAATATCAGGTTCATTTTCCATTAGAAATGACAAAGTTCTTTTGTCAAATTCTGTCAGATATGTTATGAAGTCAAAACCGAACGTCTTTTCAGTTCGTATTCTTTTACTCCGTCTCAATTCAGTTTCATGTTAGACTTCATCATCGTCACCGGAATTCAACTGATTTGGATCATCATTATCCATCATCTCAGTATGAGAATGTTTGGACGAACTAGCTTCGTCACTTAACTTGCACGGAAAAATGTGCTCAAAAACGTTGCATTCCGTGACTCTATCATTGTGTTCTTGTGAATTTCAAGATTATCTAATTTGTACACCAAGAACCGGTATGACGTACTATTATACCCGATGAAGATTCCATCAACTGTTTTTGGACCGATCTTCATCTTCTTCGGTGGTGGTGCAAGTACTTTCGCGAGGCACCCCCATACTTTGAGATACTTATATGAAGGTTTCCTATTATGCCAAAGTTCATACGAATTTTGTCAAGTTTCTTACGAGGTATTTTATTTAGTAAATAATTACTTGATAAAACATCCTCCCCCCACATGTTCTAGGGTAATCCAGAACTAAGTAGCATCGCATTCATCATGTCTTTCAAAGTGCGATTTTTCCGCTCGGCTACGCCGTTTGACTGTGGTGTATACGGTGAGGTTACTTGATGCACTATTCCGTGTTGTGCACAAAACTCATTTAGTGGAGCATCATACTCACCACCTCTATCGCTTCTCAACGCTTTTATCTTGCGATTGAGTTGATTTTCCACTTCATTCTTATATCGAATAAAAGTGTCTAACGCTTCATCTTTACTTTTCAGTAAATAGATATAGCAATATTTCGTGCTATCATCGACGAAGGTAATAAAGTACTTATTATACCCTCATGAAGGTGTTGTTTGAAAATCACACAAGTCGGTGTGAACCAACTCTAGAGGTTGAGTGTTTCGTTCGATCGTTTGAAACGAACTTTGAGTTGACTTTGCCTCAACACAAGTTTCGCACTTGTGAGTTAAGTCAATACTAAACTTAGGTATGTGTTCCATGTTAATTAATTTCCAGAGAGATGCATAATTAACATGTCCTAGTCTACTATGCCATAAACTAGAAGACTCACACACATAAGCAACAAGATTTTTATTGATCTTTTCATGAACATTCATTACATTTAGCTTTACAAGCCCATCGGAAATATAACCTTTTCCTATAAAAATCCCTTTCTTGGAGAAGATTAGCTTATCTGATTCAAACACCATCCGAAAGCCGTGTTTGATCAGCAATGACCACGACACTAAATTCTTGCGAATGTCTGGCACATAGAGCACGTCGTTAAACGTTAGCTCCTTGTCGGAGGTCATTTTGAGCTTAATCTTACAAACCCCTTGAACCTCTGATTGGGCTGAGTTGCCCATCCAGACCTTGTCACCGGAGGTCTCTTGAAATTCGTGAAACACGCTCCGGTTGGAGCAAATATGACGTGTGGCCCCTGTGTCCACAAACCATTCCCTCGGGTTTGATCTGACGAGATTCACCTCGGTGACGACTGCGTAGAGGTCCAAGTTGTCGAGCTCTACGCACATGGCTTCGGTGGTTTTCTTCTTGTTCTTCTGTGGCTTCTTTTTCCTACAATCGGAGGAACGATGCCCAGTAATGCCACAATTGTAGCACTTTCCTGCAAATTTAGAAATGCCACCCTTAGGACCTATTTTCTCTTTTTGTCCTTCCCGCCATGTGAAGATCCTGACGGATGCTCTACCACATTCGCTTTTGCCCCTCCACCTCTTCTAGCAAGCCCCTCCTCTCTGATTCTCAACCATTTGAGCAGTTGCTCCAGGTTAGCTCCGTTCTTTTGAGCTTGTGGTCGGCTTAGAAGTCTTCCCACGACCGGGGAAGTTTGTGGATGATGGCCGCCACTTGAAAGGCCTCGCTGACGCCTACTTTCTCTTCATTGCATTTGTTGAAGATTACTGTAAGCTCCTCAGCCTGGGCGACAACAGATTTGCTGTCAACCATCTTGTAGTCCAGCATCTTCCCGACGATGAACTTCTTCATACCGGCATCTTCAGCTTGATACTTCTTGTTCAAGCTACTCCAAAGCTCTTTTGCAAGCTGTGCACCGGCATAGACGGGGTACAGCGTCTCGGCCAACCCCTCGAGAATGTAGTTGATGGTGAGATAGTTATTGTGGTACCATGCTTGGTTCACCATCGCCACGAGGGGGTCGTTCCCGTCATTCGCCTGGGGAGGATCTTGAAGTTCGTGCCATTGAACTTTGGTGGCCTTTGGACCGTACTAGCGGGCACTGAAATTGGCCCAACTGCATTGGGTGTATGGAGGAAAGGCCCGTTGGACGCCCAATGAGGTCCAACAAAAGGATTGACCGGTGCGTTGAAACCCGCGTTCGGTCCGAAGTTGACCGTCGTGGCCGAAGCCATAGACGATCTGAGGAGCAGGTTCGAATTACCGACGGGGTGACTCCCCGTGGTTTCGAGCCCGGGAATAGGTCGAGGAGCCAACCCGAAGATCGAGCTCGGCATCGAGAATGATGTCATGGTGGCGGCACCCACACTTGACCCGAAGGGCAGTGGTGAGGACGACACAACCATGACAACCTAAGAGGTTTCTACCTGGACTTCGGAACTCATTCCGTTGCTGGAGGAACCCGCGATGCCGAATCCGAACTCCATCAATACTACCTTAAGATTGTTAACTTTTACAGCGGGAAAAATGAAATAAAATTGGAGTCTTTGGAAGCTCGAACACGAATGGACGGGACCGAGGACACGATCGGACAGAGGGGAAGAACACGAACGACGTCGGAGGGTAGGCAGCGGTCGTCGGAGTTTTTTTTCCTGGAAATATAGATTAGGAAAGCGGAGTCGCCGGAGCTTTCCTTAAGGTAGTATTGCCCGCCTCCCGCACTGGCAAACGTGGGCAATCTCCTCCCAGGATAAAACCGCAACGTGCAAAGTCTAGAGCGATAGAGCGATGCACTGGCGAACGAGAACGACGAGAAGTTATCTCCAGAGAAGATGATCGGAAACGGGGAGATAGTCGGAAAGCTATTACTATTTCAGAGACATTTTTTTCGAGTTTCTAATCCCTGCAGCCGAGCCCTCCTTTTATAAGAGAGGAATTGGCTCTTCGATTGGACTGGATGGAGTTACTGAGGTGTCATGGCCAACCCTTCGCCTCCATGCATGCATGCTTATTGTACGGCACTTCGTTAATCACGAAGTGTCCACGCGTGTTTAATTCTGTCTCGTAAAAATTTAGCCGCGCCGCGCCCCGCCCCGCCGCGCGTGTCGTGTCGAGCCGGACGGACGGCGGTGGCGGCGGCGCGCGAGGAGTCCTCTTCTTCTTCCTTTCATAAGCTCAATTAAATGCCAATGCTTAAATATGAGAATATCAAAGGTTCAAAAACCGGTGTGGGACAAGGGTTTTTACTCTTCCCTCATATTCAACTTTGAGAATTAATTTCTCATTCACCCGCGCACCGTTTATGGCGTGTAATATGTCAAGACGTTCGTCTTACTTACGAGATTAAACGTCCATAATTATTTCGGAAAATAATTTTGTGGACCCTACCGAATTTATGTCCGAAAATGTCCAATTTATCTAAAAATTCCAACATGCATTAGAATTCATAGATAGCGTTAATTCATGTATATAATCGATCAAAGATTTGTATTATGTGGATTTTTTGTGATTGTTAATTATAGTTTATTATAATTAGTTGATCAAGGAGGAGGATACACATTACCTTTTACTAAAAAAATGGTTGTTGGTTGTATGCTAGGATACCCATGAATGTTAAATCATTATAACTGTTGAAAGTGGAACTTGATTGTGCACCGCTACTATAGTTCGGACCAACGGTAGAGAACTATCGAGCAGCGGTAGTTGGCTACCGTCACACACATAAATCTGATTACCAACTCAACTCGGACAGTACCGGGGTACTGTGAAATGGCACCAAGGTACTGTACCATACAGTGAACAACCCCTCTTTGCTTGTTTGTTGTCACAGTTTGATTCTGAGACCTTGTGTGTTGCATGATGGTAAGTGGAAGGTGTTTACACCCAACACTAGGCCGCTATTTATATTATATGATGTTTTATCTGAATATTGTTATCCTCTTCATATATTTTAAATATAATCTTGATATTCCTTGAACGAATATAATGAGCTGAGTTTGTTAGTATAAACCTGAATATGAAGAGATGTGGTAAATAAATGATTAGGTTACCTAAAGGAACTCTATGACTGCTCTAGTGTGAATGTAAGTGAAAATGTCTATAGGTCGAATCAGACTTACAAATATGATATCTGATGGCTGGGGGTTAAAATGTATGTACGGGATCCTCAAACTATCGTTCAAAGGGGATAGGGATACCACCCACCTAGCAGAGAACTTCTTTGTTGGTAAAATCGTGTTGTATGGTATTGTGTCTCTATTTGATATTAAAATAGCCTTAGCCTAGAATAGGTTATGAACAAGTGTTAGGGATGAGCAATTGTAAGCACATGAATGTTAAGTTGATAACCGATGCAGCAGAACAGTCAAGGTAAGTAACATGATGTGTGATTTGTTATTGTCGATATTACTTGATGTTGTTATCTAATACTACTTTTGCATGGAATACTATGTGTGATTATGTATGTTAAATTAATCTTTTGTGTGACTTCTAGTGTTAAAACCTTGCACTCAGCGTGAAAACTGAGTGTGTAGTTTTTTTTGAAGGAACTGAGTATGTAGTTTATTTTACTTGCCACTTGTAGGTAACAGAAGTGATGATTACGGAAAAAATCCTAGAGGGTATCAAGGATGAGGAGATTGATAGATGCAAGATTGAGAAATTTAATGATTTAATATTTCAATTAGAATTTATTATGTTTTTCAGGAAAGAACCCAAAGGTGTGTTTTGAATTAAGTACTTAAGCTTCCGTATCATTTTATATTACTCCGATAGATGTTTTAAATAATATTTTGAATTAAATGATTTTAAATTGTTTTGAACATATGATGTGTTTGGATGTCGATCCAGTGACAACCCAATCCGCTAGTCCATGCATTCACGTTACGCGGGTAGTGCACGCACACTATTTTTTGGAGAAGAAGAATGTAACACCACTGTATCGAGCCGTCATGCACCGATCCCAACGAGCATGCCTAACAGTCATCGTTCCTTATCATTTTCTTTGTCTCTAAAAAATTATGAGTGTGCCAAATAGGCTTTTTCTTTGTCCATCTCTGTCTCTATCCAAAAAAAATTTGTATGCATGACCGAATGATTGAAAAGTAGTAATTATCTATGTTTCTTCTAGAGTTTCATAGCATGGAAAGCGATAGGGAAGTAGAGAATGACTCACAAGAAACAAAAAAAGAAACTTCACGCCCTCGCTCCAATTACCAACACTCTTCTTGGAAAAGAACTCAGCAAACATACTCTCAACCTCATTCAATTATTCATGCAACAAAGATCTCCCTCTCTACTTCTAGCGGCTATCCTCACAAAACTACTCCCATCATCTCGATCCTAGTACATGAGCTCATGCTGCTCCTCGTTACCGATGATCTTGCCTACTGAAAAATATTAGGAATATTAAGAATTATAGGAAATAATTATCATAGTTAATTACTTTCATTATCCCATTACTTCTATAATTCTTATCCTAATATGATTATGATTTTCTCTTGTATTCCTTATATATACAGATGAAACCTTGAATATTCAAAAACACCAATTAATGCAATCAAAAGGATTACTCAAAATGGCATAAATTTTGATTGTCTAAAGAGACATTCAAATTTCCCTCAAGTTGACTTTTCAAGTATAACACCTTGGAGCCATTGTGAAGAGCCAACGGTCGGGTGAAAATCAATTGTCTTAAAGGGAATTCGATTTTCCCTGAGTCAACCTTACAAAAATTAAGCTTTCCAACCATTGAGGGGAGCCAACATTCATGCAAAACTCGATTGTCCTTTTGGACTTTCAAATTTGTTATCTTCCCTGCAAAGTCTAAGATAACAAGAGAACCTAGAAAGTAGATTGTCTTCTTAGACAATCAATTTTGAGAAGTTCATTGGAAAGGTCAGGAAAAGGCCAAACATTTCAACAATTGTTTGGACATTCTAATTTTGGGTCAACCAATAAAAAACCAAGTGACCCCAAGATATGAACATTCGATTGTCTATATAGAGAGTAGGCAATCGCTTGTCCCATAGTTTTAGCTAGATCCTTGTGAAGTCGTGCTAAATATTTGATTTTCTAACAAGACAATTGATTTTACATGACATTCATGCATCCTTCCAAAATCTGGGACATAATCCAATGGCCAAGAGATCCAGAACCCATCCCCACAGTTTAAATCATTTTGTGTGTTTAGATTTAAGGTTTAGAAATCTGATAAGTGTTCAAAAATATTTTTGTTTGATCCAAGAGATGTATTATTATGTGTTGATCTTACAAGAGTTCTACCTAACGGCCTAAGTCTTCGAAACTTTGGGTCTTTAGTCTTGAACTCTTGATCTCCTTATGCTTGTCTTGTCTTGAGCAATGCTTGGGCAGCACATCTTCATCTTTGCTTGTCATGTAAACTTGCTCAGAAACATTACTTTAAACATTCATAGTTATTCATCAAAATATGTACTTGAAAATCATGCTAGCAAATACAAATGTACATATCAATAATTTTCACATAAGGCCCGACAATTTTCCTTTTTGAAATAGCAAACAATAAAAAAAATATAGATATAAAATCTCCCCCCCTGAATTTATGGCACATCTAAACACAAGCAGCATATAATCATGCAAGGCAAAGAGCAATAATTTTCTCTTAGACAGTTCCTTCTGTTAGTTCCATATTACCTATACATTTTCTCTTTTGGTATTATCAAAATGAGAATATAAAACTACTTGAATGCCAAAAATGAAGAGAGACAAGGAGGAGCAAGTAATTCATATAAATTGCACATAAAACTATATCAGTTCATAAAGATAATACTTATCGAGTAATTTTTTTATACAAACCGTCTCCCTCCATGTTGATGCAACTCGTTTTAGTGCTTGAAGGTCGGAGCATCCACTACAATGTTCTACTCCCTCCGCCCAAATTTAAATAGCTTGTTTCGGTTTATGATTGACTAAAGTTATTATCTAATCATTTTATATGAAAAATGGTGAAGAATTTAAAAATAAAAATTACATCTTCAAAATATAACATCAAAAGATCTACAAAACTAGTGGTGACATGAATATATTATTTTACCAAATGATAATGAAAAGAGAGAAAAAAATGAATAAGGTTTGACCCTGTAAACACTAAACGGATAATTTAATTTGAGATGGAGTGAGTAATCTTCAAACACATAATCAAGTGCATCTAGAAATAGTAATACTCCCTCCGTCCCCCTGTAT